AAGCGATGACAGGCGAGCTGGGGTTACCTTTAGTGGAGGAAAAAACCAAAGGTCCCTCCACTTCTTTGATGTTTTTGGGCATAGAACTCGACACACAGATGCAAGCTTGCAGACTACCAGACAAGAAACTGAGTGAGCTTCAGGCTCAGCTTAGTTGTCTCTTAGGTAAAAATAAAGTTTCACTCAAGGAGCTGCAGGAAATTGTACGGCATCTGAACTTTGCATGCAGAGTAGGAGTACCTGGTTTTGCTTTCCTGAGAAGATTATGTGAGGCCATGAGGGGGCTCCATCGCCTATTCCATAGGACTCAGGTGACAGCAGTCATGAAGCAGGATTTGCAGGTGTGGACCCAGTTTTTGGAAGGGTTTATCGGAATCTTCTTTTTGAAGATCCCAAGATGAACCTTAAGCAGGATTTTCAGATCCAAACTGATGCAGCAGGCTCATTGGGCTTTGGAATGTATTTTATGGGTAGGTATTATGCAGAAGTATGGCCAGAGGAATGGCACATGGAAGGGATCACCAGGGACCTAACATCCCTGAAATTTTTTCCTATAGTAGGGGCATTGTGGCCCATAAATGGGCCAACTCAGTTGTGCGCTTCTGGTGTAACAACTTAGTGTAACAACTTCTGGTGTAGCAACTTGGCAGTAGTCTGCATCCTAAACAGCCTCCCTTCACATTCTGAGTGTGTGATGACTCTGGTACACGCCTTTATATTGCATGCTTTAAGATTCAACATTCTAGTTCAAGCGAAGTGTACATGCCTTTATATTGCATGCTTTGAGATTCAACATTCTAGTTCAAGTGAAGCATATCCCTGGCCTTGACAACAGCTTAGCAGTTCACAATCCTACCAACACATCAATCGGTTCAGACAATTAGACCCGGGAGCCAACGAATTTCCAGTGACACTACCCCAGAGGTTTGGCAAATTGGCAGGATAATGCAGAAAGAGCTATAGGTTTGGCATTGGCCCTGAGAACATAGAAGGGATATGTGGCAATAAGTATAGAATCCTTGGCCTTGACAACAGCTTAGCAGTTCACAATCCTACCAACACATCAATCGGTTCAGACAATTAGACCCGGGAGCCAACGAATTTCCAGTGACACTACCCCAGAGGTTTGGCAAATTGGCAGGATAATGCAGAAAGAGCTATAGGTTTGGCATTGGCCCTGAGAACATAGAAGGGATATGTGGCAATAAGTATAGAATTTCAGGAGTTTAGAAACTCGGTCGGTTTGGAGCTCATATGGCCCGCTCCAGTCAAGCACCTGCAATAGTTCATAATATATCTGCACAGGAAAGGGCTGTCACCTAGCTCCATCCAGGGGAGGATGTCCACATTAGCTTTTCATGCCAAAGTTCAGGGATTTTAGGACTACGCCTCTGACTTCCACATTCCGATGATGAAGGGATGGACCAAAGAAAGGGATCAGGTTCAAGATACAAGGGCACCCATTTCCCCAGCATTGTTGGAAAAAGTTTGCCAACAGTGGCAATTCCTTTGTAAGGATCAGTATGAGGCAACATTATTTAGGATGGCATCGTTACAGACATTTTTGGGAGCCCTGAGAGTAAGTAAAACGGTGGCACCAGGAAAGGGTGATTCGTCGAGGGTTGCTTTACAAAGGCATGACATTAGGTTAGTTGATAACAAGGTTAGGATTCACATTTGTAGATCTAAAGCTAATCAGCGTGGCAAGGGAGCTGACATTACATTAGCCTCATGCACAATAGGAAATCTATGCCCAGTAAAGGCAGTTGAAAGCTCCTTGAGTGTTAGGGGAGAGGAACAGGGATACTTTTTTGTTCACAAGGATGGCTCTGTTAGAACATTGAGAATTTTACAGGCCTGAACAGGTCAAGACAGTAGTAGTAATAAGCTGCCATAATGATCACCTGTGTAGACTCAGAAGTGCTGAGTCACAGTGACTGTGAAGAGGTGTATCTGAAGATGATGCAACACCTGTGTATGAAGATGATACAACACCTGTCTTGATTGGACAGAAGCATCTGCTTGTATGTTTATAAGTGTACTATGTGTATACGATGTATCTTCTTCCTCTGTCCTCTGTTCTGCTATTCTCTATGCACTACTTTGCCTCTATATTGCTGCCACACTTAAGGACTGCTGCTTTGTATATTTGTACATTTTTGTAAATACACATGTCTTGAAGAAGAAGAGCGTGTGCGTGTTTTTCCTTCATCAGAACTCTGCAAATTACCAGCAAGAAGCTGACAGCCCCCCCCCCCCAACGAAATATCCATTCTGGAAACTGACAGATCTGGCATTTCAAAAGGTGAGAATACAAGGCTTAAGGTTTGGCACACATTTCTCTAGGATTGGTACAGCTTCAACTGCAGCTGCCCTAGGTTATGACCCAGAAGAAAGTGGGTGGGACAGTGGGCTTCAAATAGTTACTGTAGATATGTACTTATCCTTCCTCATGTGTAGGCAGGTGTTTGGTTCTTTTCTTTTGTTACAGGCATGGCAGGTATCAGACTGTAACAGGTATCAGCCATATTGATATATTTTGGGTGGCATGTTATGCTGCGAACTCGGCTTGGGGAAGCAACCTGGGCCTCAGAGCCACAGCCCAGAGCCCTGGTCGAATGGAAAAGCCATAGAGGAATGCTATGGGGCCAATTTTGCAAGGCGGCTGCATTTGGCTCACAGCCTCCAGATGTGTTGCTAATACATCTTGGAGGGAATGATTGGGCCAAGCATAGTGGTAAGGCCTTGATACTGGACATAGCACAGGACCTCAGATGGCTGAGGGCAGCATATCCCTTGGCTGGAGTGGAGAGCAGCCTGCTAGGCACAGCGTGTTAACACAGCAAGGAGCAGTGTTAACAATGTGTATTGGGCAGTATGTAACAGCCTGGGATCAGTGATTGGTCACCATGAGGTCCATATAGATAGACCTGAGCTCTTTAGGAGCAATGGAATGCACCTCTCAGATAAGGGCCTGGAGATATTCCTCAAGGACATCCGGAGGGAGCAGCTTTTGGAGTTAGATAGGATGGTTGGTAGGTATGGGACGTAATGTAGCTAGTCTCTATGCTATGGCGGGTAATACGGATGGAAGAGGCTTTGGTGAGTCCCCTTGAAATCACAGGGGCATGGGACGTAGTGTAGCTAGTCCCTATGCTATGGTGGGTAGTGCGGATGGAACAGGCTTTGGTGAGTCCCCTTGAAATCACAGGTAACATATAGCTCTTCTAACCTCCCACCGCTGTGGCGCATGAGATCACAGTGTGTGGGGGAGCAGGTGCACTGGTGCCACACCTGGACTAACAGTCACCAAGGGGAAGGTGGCTCAAGGTCCAGGGGTGGTCAAATTCCGGCCAGCCAGGCTCTCCCTGTCTTCGTGACCATGAGACCTCGGGGCTAGGGACTCACCGACTTGTTTGGTAAGGGGTCCAGTGAGACCCCTACACAAAACCTGATTCCGCACTACTATAGGGCACCCCTTTTATGGTAGACTATAATGGCTATTCAATAAAGTGTAGCCCATATTTATCCCATAATACTTGTCTCACGTCATTATTCCAGGTTAGAGGGAGCAATGCTTTTTGTGTGTATCTGTATAGAGAAAAATCTATTTTAAATACATTGAATGATAATATAATCAAACCTTTTTGAAGCAAGGTAAGAGTGCTATATTATCTATAGATAATTAAAGGTAAAATAGTTTGCATTATGTCTTTAGCAGAAACAATAATATTAAAATTAATTAGCACTGATGGCAAGAAAGATTTCATATAACACTAATAAACAAAAATATACAGAAAATCACAATGTACGATTTCCTATCTTAATCAATCAATCAATTAATTAATTACACTTGTATACCATGCTGATTAGTGCTGGGTAATTCACAATGCCTTAAGAAAGTCAAAAATATTCTTAAAGATCCATCATACCTGGGCCATTCCCTCCTTCAATTGTTACCATCTGGTAGGAGGTATAGGATAATTAAAACAAAGAGAAATAGATTGAAAAAACAGTTTCTATCCCAGAGCTGCAGCTATATTGTATTCCACTGTATAGTGCAATATTAATGAATTGTATGATGTGAAACTGAATGTGAAAGATATGGATGTGAATGAGAAGGATGTTTTTTATGTGTAATGTGCTGTGTTTTTATGTTATGGAGGCTGTGTTCTTGTGTGTTTGATTTTTATGTGTACTGGAGATGGCATTTAATTTCGTTGTACGGAAGTACAATGACAATAAAGTAAATTCAACTCAACAAGGTGTTAAGTTCTCACCTCTGCTATTTCACTTGAAACAAACAAATGGACAAACAGACAGTAATTTGACTGATCTGAGTTTCAGTCTTTACTAGTTTAGGAACTCATTTCAGTTCCAACTAGTAACTAGCCTGCTTCAACTTGTCTATCATATTCTTTTGCTGTATCTTTACAGTCATGCCTCCAATTCCAGTGGAAATGATCCAGGAGAAATGGAAGGTTGATAGAAATATGCACTTGCAGACCTCTCAGGATTCTTAAAATTAACACATACACATTCCTTTTGCTGATGTTGTTATTTGCCATCAAGTCTTTTCTGATTTATGGCAACCCTATGAAGGAGTGACCTCCAAAATCTCCTGTCCTCAACAGCCCAACCCAGCTCCTGCAAACTGAAGGCTGTGGCTTCCTTTATGGTGTCAATCCAGCTCATACTTGGTCTCCCTCTTTTCCCAACATTATTATATTTTCCGCAAAATCTTCTCATGTTGTGCCCAAAGTATGACAGTCTGAGGTGCATCACATTTACCTCCAGAGATAAGTTTACGCTTGATTTGCTCTGGGACTTTCCTGGCAGTTCAGTGTATCTGCAAAGCTCTCTTCCAGCACCATATTTCAAACGAATCATTTTTTCCCTATAAACTTTCCTCCCTGTCCAGATTTTACACCCATACATAGTAATTTGGACCATACTAGTGTGGAAGATCTTGGTCTTGGTCTCCAGTAACACATCCTTACCTTTGTTGATCTTTTCTATTGCCTTCAATGCTGCCCTTCTCCTTCTTCTTCTGATTTCTTGGCCACAATCCCCATTTGGATTGATGACTGAGCCATTGTCTGTGAAAGATCATCTCCTGGCATTACCTTGAGCTCCTGCTGCTGCCCAATAGCAGCTGTTCAGAAGTTTTCCCACTCCCATCACCATTGGAACAATTTATTTTCTTCTGCTGATGTGTCTGTTACTCCTGAAAATCTGGTGCCTCAGCTGTGATTGTTCCATCTCAGGCAGCCTTACTAGGAGTCCAGACTTGTAAAGGAGACCAGTCTCCTGATAGCATTGCTCTCTCGGCTTCCTTGACACAATCAAACCCCCTCATGGTGTTATGAGGAAGTTTTATTTGGGGCTTCCAAAGAGGCTAACTGCATGTTTTAAAGCAAATTTTGTAAAGTGGGCTCTTTTCTTAATCTGAAAACATTTCTGGTTTACAGGATTAAAGAGTAGAGAGATCAAACAGAAGGAAGAGTAGGATTTTGAAAATCCAAATCTAAAGAAAATACATTGTTTTCTAGGAAGAAAATTTCAGTGATCACAGAATCTACAATAAACAGGACACTGTTTTGAACTCTCACCACTAGTGGGAAGTAAACTGATGATCTGCTCATTTTTTGTGTGTGTGGGTTGGGGGAAGAAAGGAAATGTCTTCTGCATTTCACTGGATTGAGAAAGCCCTGCTAGATCATCTGAAATTGAAAGGAACCCACTCCTGCCTCCACATATATACCACAAGTATCTGAAAAAGATATTTCTCCTGCAAGGATTAAGAGTAGCACCGCCAGGTAAAACAAATGAAAGCAATCAAATACAAGCAATCAACCCTCCCAGCCTTACAGAATGATCAATTAACAACATGCTGACTAATCAAAGAACTGGCAAGGTCAGACTATTGTCAAGGTGCCGGAGACCCAAAAAATGCTAATGTAGAAAATCGCATTATGCCACCCAAAGTAAACTGGGGTAAAAATATACCCAAATTGCAGAATAAGCACCTGCATTACCAAAGCACTACTGGTGCTATTTCACAAAAAGACATGGAGTGAACACAACACTGAAAGTGCTGACTAAACTTAGGAAACAATCATCTTAAAAGGGGAAAAACACATACATTTTAACATAATCATTTATAATCCTGCTATTCCCATTTTATCTTCTTTATAATATAGTAATGTTACACTGAGTAAACCTGGAAGTGATTGATTTTCTACTTTTCTATAGCAACTGAAGCCATACAACTGCAGGGCCTGGAGACCCAGCACTGAAGGTAAGTGAAGAAAGATGCCATCTAAAGGTCTAGAACTAAACCTGAATCCAGAGCTGCATGAGAGGACCAGCCTTCTTGTTTCCTCTGTACACCTTTGCCTGCTATGGATTTGGGACCCTCTGGAGTTGTGTTGCTTGAGGGGATGCAGATCGAATTGGGCTGTACCTAATTTTTAGATATTTCCCCCAGGGAAAACTACAGCCTGTTCATTCACCCTTAGGCGCAGCATTTCACTGGCCATGTTAAACTGAGATTAGGACCTCATATTATTACAGATTTGGGAGGTGGACAGGTGGGAAGTGATAGTGAAGTGGTTTCTGTATCCTTCTTCATGTATCCCTTTAAAATTGTCCAAAGTTATTGTGACGTGTGCCATGACGTCACCTGCCTGTCTTGGCTAAGGCTGGAGTTTCCTGGCCTATGGCAAGGCAGGAGGTGGGTCTTAGAGGGGTGGAGTTTGTGTATATAAGGGGGGTGTACAAGGAGGGAGAAGGTTGTTGTTGGTGGTTGGGGGAATTGGAGAGTGACAGGGTTAGATATAGGTTAGGTGATTTAGAAACTGTGTGTAAAGTAACTAAGAACTGTGCAGGGTGAAGGTCTGAGAAATATAGTTTAAATAAGTGATTCTTTTAATCAGTGATTTCCTTTTTATTTCTGTAATCAATAAATCTTCATTTTATTTTAAAATCCATACATAGTCTGAAGTGTCAGGTGTATGTGTGGTTGGTGGCAGCGAAGTACTGTGTGTGTGTGTGTGAAGGATCGTGGCCTGTCATCTCTTGTGGTGACGTAGGAGGAGGTGGCAGTCGCGACAGTTATATAATGTGACAGTGATCTAAATGTAAGCAGCTTCAACACTCCTTTTGAAAGTACCAGTAACAAGGCAATCCTTTCTTTTCAGTAAAAAGTACTTTAGTCTATCAAAGGACTCCTAGTCAGTCAGGCCTTATCTGATATCCATCTAACATAAAACTCTTGTTAAAGAGCCACATTCCTTCTAACAGCTCAGAAGCTTAAAAGTGATACTTAAAATCTAGTCTTTCTCCATTTAGACAGGGGTTTGACTAACCTTTAAACATTGTTAGGCATCCTTCAGTCTCGAAAGACTATGGTAGTGTGCTCTGTATGGAGGGCTTGGAACAGCGCCTAGTGTGGCTGAGAAGGCCGATTCGAGAGTGACAATCTCTTCCACACTGAAGACAGACTTCCTCTCCGGCCTGCTGGGCAAGGGTCTCTTCAAATTGGGAGAGGCCGTGATGCACCGCCTGCCTCCAGGCTGAACGCTCAGATGTCAGGGTTTCCCATCTGTTGAGGTCTATTCCATTCCTCTTCAGATCCCGCTTGCAGATATCCTTGTATCGCAGCTGTGGTCTCCCTCTGGGGCGATTTCCCTGCACTAATTCTCCATTAGGAGAGCTTTTGGAATCCGACCATCAGCCTCACAACATGCCCAAGCCAACGTAGAAGCCATTCTCACGACGTGCCCAAGCCAACGTAGACGTCGCTGTTTCAGTAATGTATTCATGCTGAAAATTCCAGCTCGTTCTAGGACTACTCTGTTTGGAACTTTGTCCTGCCAGGTGATGCCAAAAATCCGTCGGAGGCAACGCATATGGAACGTGTTCAGCTTCCTCTCCTGCCGTGCACAAAGGGTCCAGGACTCGCTGCAGTACAGGAGTGTGCTTAGGACACAGGCTCTATAGACTTGGATCTTTGTATGTGTCGTCAGCTTCTTATTGAGCCATACTCTCTTTGTGAGTCTAGAGAACATGGTGGCTGCTTTGCCAATGCGTTTATCCAGCTCGACATCCAGAGAGAGGGTGTCAGAGATGGTTGAGCCAAGGTACACAAAGTCATGAACAACCTCCAATTCTTGTGTAGAGATGGTAATGGAAGGAGGTGAGTCCACGCCCTGGCCCATGACTTGTGTTTTCTTCAGGCTGATTGTTAGTCCAAAGTCTTGGCAGGCCTTGCTGAAACGATTCATGAGTTGTTGGAGGTCTTCAGCAGAGTGGGCAACGATGGCTGCATCATCTGCGAAGAGGAAGTCCCGCATGCATTTCAGTTGGACTTTGGTCTTCGCTCTCAATCTGGAGAGATTAAAGAGCTTTCCGTCTGATCTAGTCCAGAGATAGACACC